TCTGTTAGATTGCTTTTCTCCTGCTATTTCTTTCTTTTATGTAAATAAACTGTGAATAGAAGGATGTTGTGCTTATTGGCTAATGTAGTTGTTGGAAGAAATGAAGCTGGACAAAAACAATGATTACCTTTGAGAACAATCTTTGTACATTTTTAACAAAACAAACAAACAAAACTTTGCCTATAGTTTTGACAGACTAGGAGTTGTTGAAAAAACAATTTTTCTTTTTCTACAGAAATGAAACCATTTTCCAAAAACTGTATTTCCCCTTAATTGCTCTCTTGTATCTGTGATTCTCCCTGCTCACCAGCACCATCATTAAAGTCCACTGGGAGAAAATTTTGTTTTTCGGCAGTTTTTCTAACCAAGCTCATTGTTTTCTGTCTCAGCCCAGAAATAATTACTGACAGTGGGGTGTTCATTTGTAGGACAGTTCAACAAGTTCAGTGGTGAATGCCTGGGAGACCCTGTGATGTGTATTGTTATTATGATTAATGGCTCTTATTATTGATGCAGAACCATAAATTTATACAGAATCTGTCGAGTAAGTAAGAGAGCAGTGTCTTCTGATATGAAGAGTTACAGCAGCAAAATAGAAAACATTTATAAAATCAAATCTTACCAGATAAACAAGCACATTACAAAACTTTGAACATGCTTGTGTCTTCTTTGTAGTTCTTGGGAGCATTGTCTTTTTGCTATGGTGGGAGGGGCACTGAGCTTGTAGTGGCTGTAAGAAACCAGAACATAGAACTGGAAATTAACAAGGTAGCTGGTTCATCTCCTCGAAAAACCTTGGAAAAGTCATTTGAGGACGGTTTGTTTATGAAAACCACCTGAAGTGAAGTCTGGCTGAGGAAGCCAGCTGATAGTAAATGGGAAGGCACCACAATTTTGGAAGGAGGGGAAGGGAATTTAGCTTCAATGATTTCTTTGCAGGTTAGCAAAGGAGTGTTGTGGCATGCACTTACAGCACGATCTTTTTTTGCTGGGGTGTTGCTGCACATCCTCACTCAACAATAAACTCCCTGCTCAAAGATTGTGGCACAAACTTGGAGCATGGAAAGTAGAGGCAGGTGGCTTCTGTTAATCTGGAAAGTATTCAGGCAATAAACAGCAAAGCATGTACACCTGGGGATATGATAATATCCGTCTTGCTAGTTCAGATCTCCACCTCTGCCTGGGGACTAGCAGAGGGGAACTACTGTAATTTTACTTGGGTCCTGAAGGACAGAGATACATAGAAAAACAAACAAACAAACAAACAAACCACCACCAACAAAACCTTCTACCTTCAGGTGTTTTGGGCATTCCTTATTAAAAATATACATATCCCATGGACCAAGCTGACACCACTTTTTGTGGCTTTCTATTGCAATAATGCAGGAATGTCATCTGATTTTGTGCATAGTGGGTGGTATCTCTAATAGCCTTGTGAATTATAATTTAGAAGAAGGAAGATGCAAAAAAATCTCTAGAAAACCTCCAAATGTTATAACTGGATGTAGAATTGAAATCTAATATAATGAAAGAGTACAGAATTAGAAAATAGTAAAAATAAATCTCTGCATATGAACGCCCTCTTAGCTGACAGGGAAGGAAGGGATATGATCAGAAGTGTTTCATGCTGAGGCCAGATAAGATATAGAGCAAAATTTCTTCCTCAGCACCTCAAAGCCATAAGGATAGGTTTTATATGTACTTCCACACATAACACACTTCTGAAATTACAACTGTATTTGCTGGGTCCTTGCACCATACTCAAAGATGCAAATGAGGCTCCTCCATGCTTGATTCTCCTGGGCTGCTGTTTACTCCTTCCCTCTGCAGTTCCTCGAGGTTTCCCATTACGTGTAGCAGCCAGTGTAGGGACTCTTTCAGCTGGCACCTCTCACATGTTGCTTCTGGCTTCATTCTTAACACACCTCGTAGGTCTTTCCATTGCTTTTTCTGAGCCTTAATTACTGAAAATGCGCCTGTGCAGTATCAACTAACACTAAAATGATTTCCTCTTTAATGTCAATTGAAAAATGAGTTCCGTTTCTCGGGCCAAACGTCACTTTCATGTCGGTTATTTCACGAGCCCCGGAGAGTTTTACTACAGCAGCCAGCTGCCACGGGTGGAGCCGGGCGTCTTACAGCCTGGCCCTCAGCGCACAGCCTCAGCTGTTCCTGGAGGTCTGCACTTGCCGGGACAGTGCCCAATACCTATGGGCACACCGAGTATTTTACATAGGTCTGCATTTGGTGGGAAGTGGAGACGTTGCTGCAGGGTGCCCCTGTGCAGACAAAAGGAATACTGAAGCCTGTGGTGAGGAAAGAAAGTTCAGAGGCTTCTTAAGTAAAGCTAAGGGCGAAGGCAAAGGTGCTTTTTTTGTTGCCCATTACCATGAATTCCCCTACTAAAGAAGAAGGTGGGATTACAGTAATACTTATGTCTTTCTCTTACCTCTGTACAGAGGTCATTTTTCATATCTAGCGACTTGAATTCAGATACGTTTTATTCCCCACAGACCACATCTCCCTGCTGCGTCTGTTGTGCCGCGTGGCACCTGCAGCCATTACAAACCAGGGCAGCAAAGCCCAAATTCGCACTGGCAGGAACAGAGGTGGATCAAACGTACAGGAAAGTGCTGTTCATGTGTCTCGCTACCAGGCAGCTTTTATTGCTAGAAGTGTCACAGCAAGACAGAAGCAGGCTGTTCAGTTTGCCTTTTCGTTCAAGTACTGAAGGAAGAGACCTTGCTGATTGTTAGGAGGAGCTGATGACATTTGTCGCAGCAATCCTGTTTTCCAGCACGATAGCTTTCTAAAATTTGGGGTAGATCAGGCCCAGATGGTTCCGTAGCTGAGACCAGCATTTCAGACTTGGCTCGGTCCCCAGTTACACCTTCCCTCTCACATCCACACCTCACCACACAGCCGCAGAGGCTGTGCCACTTCGCCAGGGCCCAGAGGAAAGATTTCTGAAGGACTTTTACAGTGCTGCAATGGATATGGCAGAAAGCACACTTCTCATGATGAAAATGGTTGAAGGCCTGGCATATGGTTTAGAGAAATTAAGGATGGGTGTGTGTATACAGATGTGTATGCACTGATATCCACAGCACAAGGAATTTTTTGACAGGACTTTTATAAATGAGCAAAATCAGGAAGACCTTTGTAGAATACCAAAAGCAGCAATCTTTCTTGCTGCTGGGTATTACCCTAGTCTGCAAACAAACATACCACACAAGTGAGGATCTCTTTAAGGGTGCATAATTTATTTATTTATTTTTAGGGTGTAATTCTACCTTGCCCTCTTTAATAATTCAGTTTATTTATTCTTTATACATATATATATGTTTTTATTACCTTAAACAAGTTACCCCTACGTAGTCTTTCTTGGAAAAAGAAAACCAACAACCTAAAATATGAATGATACCAAGAAAGTAAAGAGAAAAAAAGCCTGAAACACTTTTAGCCACAGCATTCTTTCTCACTGCATTGCTACTGATAACCACAGCCAGGTAAAACTGTGCTGATTAAATGTCTTGCTGCCTGTGCTTAGGGGAGGCAGGCAGAGCTGCTGAAGGAGGAAAGGGACTGGGGCTTTATTTTGTAAATAATTTATATTGGATCATTGTAGATATCACTACCAGGAAAAGTAATCCTGCTATAAAATTTATCATCCCATGTTTCTGAGCCTTCTTACTGATAAAGTGAATGCTTTTCTGTGCCACACTGGGAAGGAAACAATTTTCTGGGCTGGGTGTTGATGCCCTGCTATCTGACATTCAAGTTTCCTCGTTCCCTCACTGTCTGCGTGCACCTCAGCCATCCATCCTGCTTCAGTCCTTTCCCTTTTATCTGAGTGTGGAATTAATCAAAATTATTTGCTAATTCACTCACCTGGACAGCTCACGCTCAGCCTATCTCAGCCTTCCTAAACTGTAGCTGCCTCCAAGGTGAAGCAAAATGGGGCAGACCCTCACTAGCTTGGAAAGTCTCTCTTCTGAGTTAGGAAAGATCATTTCCTGCCTCCTCTTTTTTAGGAAGTTTGCCTATTTTACACTCTTTTTTGTCCATTTAGCAACAGCCTTTAATACTCCTGCCCAGCCGACAAACAGCTTCTCTCAGGTAAACAGTCTCCACTACCACAGTGTGCTTTGATGCTGAAATCCCTATTTCTTTATGATAATTCTTTCCAAGCCTAATAAAAAATAATGTGTTTTGGGAAGAAATAACCATCCCAGCAGAGAATCCAGTGTGGTTATAGCTTAGCATTCATGCCTTGGGTACTTTTGAAAGTGTCTCCTAGGTACTGTATAAGCAAATGATGGAACTCACCTCAAAAAGCTCACTCTCTACATGCCAGACAGGATGCTACGTGCGGGTGGGACAGATAAATGAGCTGGAAGTGGACTGGGAGGAGGAGGAAGTTACAATAAAATAAACCAGAATTTAGCTGCAGAGCAGAGGTCTTTGCTTTGCAGTTCCATGATCCTGGGTCATCACAGCTGTAGGAAGTTTCTGACACCTTTTAGGATTTTTTGGTAGAGAGGGTAAGAGGAAGTCTTGTTCTCTTGTATTTTCTGTCAAGAGGAGCTGGCTACAAGAGCTGCAGCATATTACAGTAATAAGCATGTTTCATGCAGATAAAAGTGGCAAATTTGAAGGATTAATGCTGAAACGCAGGGAAATCCTTGATGTGGGAAGAATTCTTTCTTGTCCAGTGGCACCTCATGGTCCTTGCAGAGGGCAGGTTCCTCATTAGGAGTGCAGATGCTGTCACCGGTTTGCAGTGAGCACCAGGAGAGTCAAGTACAAATGGAAAGCAAGGAGAAAATGTGAGTTGCAGAAAACATCTCCAACTCCAACAATGCACAAGTAAGACATAAGAAGGGACAGTTTTATGGCTAGCTCACCGAAGAAGTCCTTAAAGACTGCTGTTCATTTTATGTTTAGGTGATGCCCTCTTCTACAAAGGCAATTCAGTTGTCATACATAGTAGAAACAACTCTATCACGAGCAGCTAATGTCACTATAGATAACTTTCATCAATATTCAGAGAAAGTTCTGGGCTTTAGCACTATTTAAAGGTCATTATGGCCTCCAACATAAGTTCTTTTATTTTGAAGAAATTTCTCATCTAAGCTCTACCACAGTATGCAAGTCTGCATCATGCACCTCAAGATGATTTTGGTGGCAGCAATTCCACCAGCTGGAATGACTGGGTAACTCTTCCTCAACAGCAGGATACGTTACCCACAAGTTCCTTCTGAACTTTTTTTTTTTCTTTTCTTTTCTGGGAAGAAAAAGGAATTGGATATTCTCCAACAACTGTCATTTGCAAACAGCTGTTTACATCCCAAAGCCCTCGTAGTAGAATCAATATGTGAAAAGGGAAATGGATTTTGGAAAGCAGTCCATGAACTCTGTGCTACAGCCAACTATTGCTGTGAAAAGTAACCAGTAATGCTGAAGCCTGCTGCATTCAGCTGTGTCTGAGGGTCCAACAGAAATATAAATCACTTAATGGATTAAGAGGATCATTTTTCCTTCACCTCATAAGCTTTGCAGAGTGTGTCTTTTTTCTCTGTTAGCACAGTGCCCAGTGGAGACTGGGGCCTCTGTGTGTTACTTTAACAAATATTTATTTGCTCATTTGGAGGCGTACATAAGACGTAATACCTAAGAGACATGACTGAGAAACAGGGAAGAGATGCTACAAAAATGAAACAATTTTTTTTTAAGGAGTGGTAACTTTCTAGGCCTTTTGGACACTCACCTCTACAGCAAGCAAGCCAGACTGCCAAGATGCTTGTTAGTAAGACAACTGCTCACAGCTGGACCTTGCAGTACAAACTGAGAAGGCAGCACTGGACCAGACCTCCACTTCTCCTGATGGCTTATTCAGTTCTTTTCACTGCTAAGGCTCAGGTGAGTGAGGGGCTGTGAACAGGACAACATGCAGGTGTGTAGCTATACCAAAGGCCACATCTGCACCTGAGAATGGATATATGCAATTTTAATCCTGTTGGGTGGATGTGCATGTCTGCCAAGCAAGAGAAAGAGAGAGGGAAGCTTAAAAGAACTTTGATTTCTTCATTGTTTTACGTTCCTCAAATGAACAACTTTGTTCTTGCTTTTCTCCAGTTAATGATTGCTGTGCCTTGATATTAAATGATGAGCTCTGTCTGTTCTGCTTCTGCCTCCTCTTCTGCACTAAAAATGGAGTTAATGGTGGCCAAGCAACTCTTCCTCATGTCAACAAGATTAACTAGAAAATAAGCAGATCGTGGGTGGGAAGTTTAGGGGAGACCGTGTTACGCTATGTGTTTCATTTGAGAGTGGCACTGGATAGAAACTGCTCTACTTGAGGAAAAGAACACCCAGTAGGTTTCTGGGTGGTGCAGCACAATTGTTAAAAAGGAAGAAATGATGCCTGAGTGAAAAATGTGGGATTAGATCCCACAGGAATGATGTTCAAGGGCCTTTCACAGTTTTCATTTGATGGTGTATCAGTAGCTGAATGCCATGCAAGATAGAGAATATATTATCTGGTAAAAAATGCTGGGATAAGTCAAATAATAGGTGTAAATCATGCTTTCTATCTTTTTCTTGGACATTTCCATTTTTTTCAGCAGTATTTCAGTGCAGCAGAACTTAGGTCCTCAGTTAGCCACACTATAAGCCCAAGCCTGATCTGCTTTAAAAAATAGATACCTCATTTTAAATAGATTGTCAATCCCTCCATTTAAAGTGGTACACATATCTCGTAGATTATTTACTTATCATTTATGTCCCTCCAAGTAAGTTCAGTGATGTCTCAGTGAAAAGCAAGCTGATAAAGGTGAGCATGCCTTTAGCAGAGATGTGTAACTGCATTTTTTTTTTTTTAAAGGAAGGAACGTCTTGTTATCAGCATCTTTCTCAGACCAGAACTGGAATTTTTGCAGAAACATCAGTAAACAAGCTTTGCTGACCACATCTGTGTTTCTGTGAACCAGCAGGCTCTGGAAGAGCTTAAGCAGAAAGCTGTGCATCTCCTGCCTGCTTCCCCTCACCATGACTGCCCTGCATGCAGCAGAGGGCTGCTGCAGCCTGCCTGTCTGGATGGGCTGGGCAGCATGTCACCCACCAGGCAGGCTTACTATTTGCCTGGAAAAATCATCCCACACTGAGGGCAGCCTCAGGACCACTCCTGGCAGCCATTAGTTCTCACGGTGACTTGTGCTCTGCTAAATAAATGGAGACTTTTGCACGGAGTAGTCCTCCTGAAGACAAGACTGGCAACAACGGGACAAGGAGCAGAGGCACAGAGACTGAAGGGAACGAGAAGCTCACCTGTGGATGCTTTGTTGGGCAGAATGAATGGAAGGGGAAGTGTGTAGACAATCCCACAAGCCATGAGGGAGAGAGACAGCCAGGCTCCTGCTAGGCTGGGAGAAGAGGAACACACTGTGGTTCCCAACATGTGAATAAAGCTCCTCGGTGAGGAAGCAGAGTTACTGGAAACCTGCCTGCCCTCACCTTCAGCACAGAAAGGCCCTTGTGGGAAGGCGCACATGCATGGCAATGCAAGAGCCGCTCACTCAAGTTCCCTGTGAGATGTGGCCGAGGAAGCGATTTATTTCCAGCTCCCCTTCAAGATGAAATATGGCTTGCACTACCACGGCCTAGGTTGTAGTTATTCTGTAAATAAAGATTTTCTGTCTTCCACGTGGCCACTTTTGCCCTGAAGTCACTCTTTAAAGTAAGCCTCAGAAACAGAGGCAGGTGAGCACAGCCGAGAGCCCGGACAGCAGGTACCCATTAGCGCTAAACACTCGGTGTGAGAGAAACTTTCTTCCGTATTTCACCTTCTAACACGCAGGAGGTTGTGCTGGTGACAGGGCAGCAGAGCTGTCCTGTATCTCCGATGCTTTACTTCTGCTCGGTGAAGGCACGGAGGAGGCAGACTTTGCTGCAAAGCCTTTCTGCTCCCTCTGTGCTCGGTGCACGCACTGCGGCCTCGGGAAGCCTCCGCACCACAGTTCCACAAGAACACAGAGTCACCCAGCTCTTTTCTTTCTTTATTTTTTTATTGAAAGCTTCATCAAAGAAAACAGAAGTTTAAACCTAACATCCACTGATCTACAGAAAGCCCCAGGAGTGGGAAAATGGCAGCTATTAGGATTGTGGTACAAATGGAAAACATCAAAAAAAAAAAAAATCATAGCAGTACAGATCTTTCAAAGACATTCTGAGACATCAGCACACAGATGCCCATATAAATAAGATTCATAATTTAATGTATCACAGAGGTTCTGTATTCTACATTTTGGCTACAATGAGGTCTGTAAGGGCTTTAAAGAACCTCTGTCCCACTTTTGTGATGCACGTTTTCTTGATAGGAAGTTCATTTGCTTTCAAAGCTGCTTTGATTTTTCTTACAGACAGAATCTGTTCATTCTCCTTTAAAAAGGAAAACAAATAAATGTTCCTATATTAATTCTGTATGCTTCCTGGTTTTTACATACAGTTGTTTTGCCTCCAAAAGATAGTAGAATTTTCCTCCACTCTGGAATACAGAATATTTAATAATACTTCAGTTACATAAACATCATGTTCTCTTCTCTAGGCTGTATTTTTGGGCCTTTAAAAATATAACTGACTGTAAATTCCACCAGATTCATAAAATTTTTATCCAAGAGAAAGACACTTATAGGCAGAAATTAAAGTTGGGCAGATACTCTCTTAAGGACAGCAGATCCAGATCTTGGAAGGTGCTTAGACCTTGCAGGGTTTGGCCCTGCAAGGAGACATGTATTTGTGAACCTGTCAAAGGCTGATATTTTTCTCTTCATTACACATTTTTATTGACTCGAAAGAATGCAACTGTCACTGTTGGGGAGTGAAATCCTGAACAACTGAAATAAAGACAAACATTTTTCTCATCATGAAAAGCTAAAGCAACACTTTTACTTTTTAAACAACTTTTCTCTCATAGTTTTCTGTTAATTTTAACAAAGAACATGTTAATAAAGCGGAGAAAAAAGGGTCTCTTCTGCCTGCTTTGAGGCACAAAGGTGAATAAATCTCTGGGGTACATACAGAGCTCTAGCCTATTTAGGTGACAGGAGCAATATAGAAAAAAAACGGTGCTCTTTTTGAGGGCTAACTTTCCTTACACTGCAACTTTGCTGCTTGCTGAGATTCTAGAAATCTGCTCCAGTGAGGGACAGGAGTCTGCCGGTCACTCAGCCCTCCTCTGGGAAAGTGGGCGGGCATGACTGTGTGTATGCGTATCAGAAATGAAAGGAATCATCATTATTAGAGCCAATTGCCATTCAACTGAAAAGACTAATACACCAAACGTCAGTGTCTTTGTTGTTTTCTGTTTTGCATTTCCATCACACCGTGACTGTTTTCTCAGTTCACATGGGCTAACCTAGAAAGACCTGTAAAATCCCTTACCCTAGGGCACTTCTTTGTATAAGGACCAATTTCATGTTAAATAAAGTTTTGAAAGGAAATGTTGACCATGTGTGTATCAAACGTTACTATCTTCAACTACCACATTTGGTCTCACCACTAAAAATAGATTGCTTTATTACTTTAAGCACATTATCACTCTTTAGCATGACTCTTACTGTAGGTGGAGTTCAGCTAGTCTGCCTAAAACAGTTTTTCTCATGTCAACCTCAGCATTAAAATGAAGTGGCATGAGGAGCACCATCAAGCTTAAAATCATGAAGCATGGCAATTTCTTAAACACTTATTATCAGTCTCACCCTTCAGTACCATAAACAACATAATATAGATCCAAATACTATGACATATTAAAAATAAACTTTATTACAATGCAGGCTTCCTCAAATTTGCTGAGTTTTGGTACACATACATACATAAATAATACCCTTCATTTGATTTTTACTTGTGTAAAAATCCATTTGAATGCTTCAGCCCATTGCCCATTGAAAGTTTAAGCCCTCAACTTCCCTAATAACCAGCCTTTATCTTCTACAGTTGGGCATGCATCCATAGCAGAAGACAATACAATGTGATGCAATTGCTCTCAGATATGCCTCATTCTGCATTACAGTGGATTTCTTGACCAACACAACCAAGGCAGTCTCTTGGTAAACAGAACTATACAAGTAAGCACAAGCTAAGGACATTTCAAGAGTCTGTTTCACTGGAAGGCAATAGGAGGACATTCACAATTTGAGGCCTGACTGTCACAGGTGAAAAGTGCTTACAAAACCAGCAGTAGAGCCAGATAGGAAGAAGAGTCCCTCAACAATCTCACTGGAAAAAGTGAGACTTTTCAGTGCCCTGATCTACACTCTGGTCAGCACCTGCAAATATAATACTCTCTTCAGTTCCACTGTATCAATTTTTTCTCAGTGTTAAGTGACGAGCCCAGGTATTCAGAATTTTCTAGCCATAATTCATATTTTTCTGACACCCATCCCGTATTTATCTTTTAAAGTAAAAACAAAAATACCAAACCTGAACATCCAGATTTGACTATTTACAAGAATTCAGGTGTGATGGAAAGTACATACGCAGTTCAGCTTATGGATTTGATGTTGCTTCTAGACCGCTGGGCCAGGCACCATTGCCTTAGACTTCTAGAGTTGTTTCTGCAATCTTTCAGGAACCCTCGTGATATTTAAAGCTAATTGGCAAGACATAGATACTGACTTTATGAATTCTGATCTTCAAAAAAAAAAACAGAAAAAAAAAGTCAAAAAAGATAATTATAATAAACCTTCCAATAAATCTCATTAGCCAGAACATAAAGAAAACCAGTTTTAGAGTTCAGAAGCCACCAAGTATTCCTGTGCTGTGATGACAACCATGCAGCAAGTGTGTTGCTTTTCATTATCTTTTATCTCATCTTAAAATTTTTACAAACAATTTACCACTTTCTGAGCATTTCATATGTTCCATTTTTTTTTCTTACCTTACGATCTATGTCTATTTATACTCAAAGCTCACACTGCTTATAGAACATAGACTTCCAAGTACCATTTCACTGATTTTTGGGAACAGTAAGATGATCAATTGTATTTAGGGGATCCATTTTCTTTCCTCTTCTTCTTCCTCTATTTCTTTGTTTCTTTTGATTTCAAACACTATTAAACATTGCAGCATGGAAAAAAAGAAAAGGAACAGTTCTAACACAGAATGCACTTGAAACACTTTAAAGTGACAGGCATTGTGATATCGTGCTGCCTGTCTGACTTAATAAAAAACACTGAGATTGCTTAAATTTGTTTGCTGAAAAAAATAACAAAAATGTTTCTGAATGTATAAATAAAGCAGCAGAGTTCTGAATAGAAACAAGAAGGTACCTCAGCATATTCATCAGCCACATGGTAGCTACCTTGTAGCCTCATTGTTGATAGTAAATGAGACTTTTTGTATGTCACATTAGAACTAACACAGAAACAAATATGTTTATTTCATATTTAACTGAATTGTGCCCGGGGTTATCACTATTTGTACAAAGAATTCAGAGAGAGACAGAAAGAGAGTACGTGTAGAAAGGAAGAAAATAAGGCTAGATTGATTTTTCCCCCCTATGCCCTCCAAAGAAAGAGGGAACCTTTATCCAAGGACAAAATTCAAGTGCCACTCTCAAAAAGCAACATGTAATGAGACAGTATGTGGAACAGAAAGAGATGTGATTTATTTATTTATTTATTTTCCTGAATTAATAATGTCAATATTGTTGTTCTTTTACTTTGGCATCATCTGGTTTTCAGAAGTGTCAAGTATCAACAACTACTCTGGAGAAAGCAGAAGTTTTATCACTTCTGAAAATCAGGCCCTCTTCCTATGGTGAAGAACCACGTGAACTCCCATTCCTCTCTTTTATATGTTGCATATCTAGCAGCCATTTACTTGGGAAACCCCCTCCCACCCCACACTACATTAAAATATATGATCTTGTTTTATCAATTTAAAAAAATAATTGTGTACTTTTTCCCCCTAAAAGTCAGGTTAGGGAAACAGAGATCTCTTTTTAGATTTGGGTGGCTGAATCAGATTGATCCAATATAAATGTTTGAATTTAATTATTTTTAATGGATACCCTGTCTCTATTGCACCACAATAAATGTGATGAAGCTTCCCCTCTCTTCTGAATGGAGGAAAGTTTAAAAATGTTTGGTTTAAATTTACATATAGAAATATGTTTATGTATGTATATATTTAAATGCTGCTTCTCTTCTGCCTCCTTAAGGAAAAAAAAAATCATCTTTTGACTTGCTTTTCACCTTTTTTGGTTGCTTGGAAAAATCAAGGGCCATAATCAAGATTTCTCTGTGGAAAATAACTGTCATTCCTGAAACAGGTTTCAGTGGATTCAATTTAGTTGGTGTCTTTTCTGCCTAATCATACTAATTAGTGATTGTCAGCCAACATATTAAGACAACGGAAATCATAGCAGAGAAGAATAATTTTTAACTTCCTGCCTGCATGACAATGCTAGCGTAAGTCATTTTCAACATTTCTGCTTGTATGGGAGAGCTAAAATGAGAACAAAGATCGAGTTTGCTTTCTGTTGCATCTAACTGGCAATTCGAATGCATCACCGAAAAACGCAGAATTAAGGTGGCTATGCATGCTGGACGATGACAAAGACTGAGGTGAAGAAATGAGTCTGTGGTATGTCGGAATTGAGAAGGAAGACTGTTGTTTCAGAAGAAATACCAAGGATCAGGCAATTCAACAGAAAAACTCATCAAAATTAAGCCCACCTGGACAGATTAGTTGGTGACCCGCTCCCCTGCTTTGTGATGTTCTCCAAAGCACACCATCAATAAGCTTCTCATACCAACTATTCTGAAATTTCCACTATAAACATATGCAGTATGTAAAACACCAGTGGAAGATAGTTTAAACAAACAAGAAAGTAAGAACTGGTCCGGCCATGTAGGTCAAATAAAGATAAAAAAAGAAAAAAACCTCTATCTTCTGGACTGCGTTAGGGTGTCACTTCATCTTTGGTATAAAATAGGCCATCCATAGGCTGCATTTGTTCACAACTAGGAAAGACTACAGAAATTGTCAACAATTTCTTCTATCTATTGCTTTTTTTGCACTTTTTTGACCATAAGCTCCTATCTACTTAAGTTTTTTTAATGCTCTTAAGCTAGGTTTTTGCAATGTGACAAGCAAAGCAGACTAAAAACTTCTTAAAGCTCATAAAAAAGACTGCAGATAAAAAGCACTAATGCTTTTGCTAGCGATCACGCTTTGTAAATAAAAAAATCTGCATTCTGCAAGAAAAAAACCCTGCATTCTCTACAATGCAGCAAGTTTTTTTCTCAATTCAATAACTTTACTGTAAAATGCTTTAGCCTTCTAGAATTTTTTTCTGTCAACACTTAAGACAAAGTTCATAAAAGTCCCAGCATTTTTCCAATCCTTTCAGTTGCCACAGTTCCTTTATCATCAACTTTTCTTCAAAAGAAGAAAATCATTTTCTTTTAAACTGTACAGTTTATTTTTGTTCACCCCAAAAACTCAGTCTATTAAACTTCTGCACCAGCACCGGTGTGAGCAGTTTCAATTCATTCTCGGGTTTTCTAACAAGACGTTGACAGCTTGCCTTGAGAGCCTTTGACGTCCTTAAAATTAAGGCAATTAAGATTCAAGATAAACCTTACCTAAACATTTCTTTAAAACAAACAATTGAACAACAACAACAAAAAGAAAACAACAAAAAAGAACAAAAAAACACTCTAAATTTAAAACAAGAAGAAAAATAAAATGAGAGAAAAAGAGTAGCTTAATTTTTGAGGAAGACAATTGGTTTTCATCTCAACTTGCTCCCTCTTGACATCATCAGTTTTTTCTGTTAAAAAAGAAAATCTAGCTACACCTCCAGGTAAATTCTGAATTCGAATGTTCGTCCAGATGAAATGTCAACCCAGCATTTCTCCTCTGGGTTTTTTCTTTAGTTAAGAAAAAAAAAATAGCAAAAATAAAATTGTCAGACTACATGACGGAACCATTTGCACAGCACATAAAAACACTGTTTTGTTTTCGTTGGGAAAGGTAGAAAAAAAAAGCATTCATTTGACGCCTGTGCAAACTGGAAGCCAACTTCTTGTTCAGTGAAGTTTCTCCATTCAAGGCAAAGATTTCAGACCGACATTCTTCAGTCCTGTTTATTGTCTGTAAAAACAATTGAATTAAAGTGGTCATTAAGTCAAAACAACTTTGAAATAGGCTCCTCTCCTTTTTTTCCACCCAATTCCCTTTAAAAGTTATCCAAGCTAAACTAACTTTGCAGCTGTTTAAATATGATACCACCACCAAGCTGAAAATAGTCAGGCAGAAATAGGGAACTCCTGCTTTGAGGACGTTAACACATCCTAAGCAGATGACTTTACTTTTGTTAATGCTATGCTTAATGGGCAGTCCAACTACAATGAAATCAGATGAATACGTGGCTTAGCACTGTGTAAATATTTCAGGAGTAATACAATAAGAGAGAGAATATTTTCATAATATTAACTGGCACTATTTATTTTGGATACTAATGATAAAACAAGGGATAAAATTACAATAAAAGGATACATCCAATTTGCTAATAAGAACACATTTTCTGATGGCAAGAACAGTTAGACTGTGGAACAGTCTGCTTAATGAGCCAGCTATTTCTAACTTAGAAACTTTTGAGATAATATTAGAAAAGTATCTTTTTTTTTTCTTTTTTTTTTTTTTTTTAACATATAGTTTGAAGTCTTGCTAAAATTAGCATGGAGAACAAGCTAAACTACCATTTTTTTTTCTTAAGAAGATAACACATGCTTTGTGTTTTTGAGGTTTCACAAAATTTTAAGATACGTTTAATAAAACTTATCTTGGCAAGATGATACGAGATCCTGGGGGGAGATGTAGATCCTACTTACAAACACTAGTAAATATATCAGTAAGCCATCAGTAAGAGTTATTGCTTCTCCTACAGTCCTCAAACCTTGCACGGAATAAAATCCTTTTACAACTCAAGTTCAACTCAAGAGAAGCTAGCACCTTTCCTTTCTAGGCATTAAAGCATTTGCCTTGCTTAGTTTTAAATTAATTTTATTATTATGAGTTAATATTTGCCACATAACTATTTCTCCAGTATGGTAAACATAGAATGAACTTTGATTTTAAATATTAAATTTGCCAAAGATTTTTTTTCCATTGCACAAAGCCTTGAAATTAATATTTTGAATGTAACAACAGATACATGTGGAAAATAAGAATTAACTATTTACTTAGGATTTTTAAAGCAGTTCTCTATGCATAACTTCCAGTAGGAGTACTCAATTTGGACTGCTCAGTGCCTAAGATTTTACAGCCTCTCTGAGTAGAGTGGGCACTAAGGGGCTGCAGCACACATTCTCTAACAACCTGGCATTGAGGTTGCCCAGAAAAGGCTTCAGAAAAACTGAACTCTTCCCACACTTAAAATCAGAGTACTTTGCTCAACAGGCAGAGTTTTGTTTAGGGGTAAGAGAGTACAATTTCCAAGGGGAAGGATCGCCATTTAAAGCCACTTCATAGATTTCACACTCTTATGTGGAAAATTAAAGATTTATGAGGAGAAGAAAAGAGGCATTGCAGGTCTAAAATAATTAAGGTGATTTCCTCATAGAGTTGAGCTGTCTGCTCAGAAACAGAAGGCTGCTTCTCCTATATTTCTCCACTTCTAGAAGTCAGGTTTTTGACATGAAGTCATCATTTCTGAACATCCCTGTGTGGGATGCTCAAATAGAGCAGCCAGCATATTAAATGAAAGAATGTGTATGCTGATGAAAAAAAGGGAAAAAGAATGTGTATGCTGATGAAAAAAAGGGAAACTTAATTTTTAAATTTTACGGTTTATTTTTTCACAAAGAGAGTACTAGATCCTTGTAACACCCTGAGTACCTTTCCCCTCCTGTTAGAACTTTCCCCTCACTGTTAGAACTTTTCTCCTGACTGATCAGTTCCTATGCAACTATTTTTTAATGTCTGCCTTTTCCTTTACCTGTATTTGACAAAATCTTTATGCAGTCATGTTAATTATTTCCTCTCTATTGCTTTGAAAACAGGTGTGTATTGGGCATGGTACTTCTTACTAATAAATGTGCCCTTCGAAGAGTGGATTAAAAACACTAAATCTTAATTGCTAAATAACTTCATTTAATATTATGTTAAAGATTACTGACATATTCTGGTAGGAATTGTTTTAAGACAGAGATTGCATACATATTTGTTTCTCTCTACAGCTTCCCACACTTTAGATTTATGCCCACAACTGGCAGACACAAATAGAGGGCACTTTTCATGGAAAAAAAAAAAATCATAGTAAAAAATATGTGGTGGATATCTCTATGTGTTATTTTAAAGGAAAGAATTTCCTCTGAATATAAATGCCAGTGCCATTAAAACCGTAGCCATCACTTCAACAAGGCAGGAAAGATGAAGGATCTCATTCTCAGTGAAGGTGGGAATTCACCACGTGAGAAAGAACACAGAACTCACTTCAATAAAGAATCATAGTGTAGTTTCCTCCTCTGTGGGAAAAATCCCAGAAGCAACTGCTTACAGCTACCTTATGAACATATCTAAACTTAAGTTCTTTTGCTTGGAGACTTAACTGAAAGCGAACTGGAACATGGGAATGATCAAATCCAAGTACCTTCAGAACACAGTCATCGAAGCCAGTGAACAGGATGGCACTGTCATGTGTATTTCTCTCTTGGTTAACTATATTCTTTAAGTACTTTGCCATTACAGGTACTAGAGAGGTTGATGGCTAGGAGGGGTACACATGCATAGATTGTGTCTCCAAAATAGAGTACTGGACGAATCAACAAAATGCATGTGATCAACTGCTTTTGTATTTACATCTGAACAAATATGGGAGTGACATATGAAAAAGCCAGGTATTACAAAGTACGGCAGTCAAAAAGGGCCATTGTGTGATCTGATGCCATTGTTTGTTCATGTGTTAGACAAAAAAAAGCATCTTCCACTTTCTGAGGTTGCAAATGAAGTAAAGCAACTGACAGATTGGTATAATTCCTATCTTTTCTATACCAGCTCATATATTATGCCTCTTGTACCATAAGTACTATGTCATGATGCATTAGCTGATATACCAAACATTTTTCTTATCTGATGATTTGTCTACTTCCTTCCACAAGATAAAAACTGCATAATTGTTTTTACAGTGATGCTGATTTTCAATGTACATGTATTAATAAATGACTGTGTTTGGAGTACGGCAAAATTCTTAGAATTGGTCCAAATTCCTAGAACCTGTCTATGGATCAGTACCTGTGACTAAGTCTCTGACTTGTCTTCAAGAGGACTGATTCCGTTATCTCAAAGGGAAGGAGTGTAAGAGGATAATTCAGAAAATGATGGGGTTCTAGGTCGAGCTATCAGTGTATAGATCTCAAATATTGCAAGGTATTCCACGGGAAGCAAATAAAGTGAGCAGAGGATGAGAGAAAGACAATGTAGTCTTTTCCTCATCACAGTCTTTTCCATTCTGTTTCTAGCTTCTGCCCTCTTGGTATCTGCATGGCACCAGTTTAGGATGCTCACAAATACCCATTTGGGGCAATTTACACTGTTTAACTAGCTGGAATTTCAGAAATGAACCTTTATGTTAATACCATGCCGATTTTTGCCACTGCAAAATTTAAGTCCTGTTTATAACCTCTGATGCTAGATGGTGGTTTAACCTGGTATGGTGACTGTTAATGCAGTTATTGAGATCCTTTTGAGTCCAGAACAAGCAGAAGCCTGCTAGAGAGCATGGAACTCAATTTCATCTCAATTTTCAACTCAAAAGAAAAATACAATTTGCTTAGGTGAGACCATCAGGCAAAACCCCCTCCTAATTACATTACTATATACACTATTCATCTGAACTTAATGAAGCTATGCTGAATTTGTATTGCTGAAATGGGAAGGAGAATTTGGGCCACTATACGGAGGAGACAAAACCCTCAGTCTACAAAGTATACGCCTACTTACTTAGACTGTTGGTAAGAATATGCAGGTGCATGTTCACTGGATGTTTCCACTGTCATCTGTTGCTGTTGACCACTGGCTTCCTGTGATGATGATGCTACTGTCTGTGGAGAAGTATCAGCAACAACACCCTACGGAGTCAAATGAGAACATAAAAAACTTACTATTTTTAGTCACTTTACTGAATTACATAAAGGAACTCAGCACCAGCTCACATTCCTGTATTTCTCTACAAGTACTGTATGGTTGAGAGAGTTTGAGATAGGAGAACCACATGCTAACCCAACAAACTATATTAGTTTACAGAGATAATCCAGCAATGAGAATCTTCCTTAGTGTACTAACATCTCTAGTACTTTGTTCTCACAAGCTGCCATGGCAAATACCTACACATTTGGGAAAGGTTTTCTGTCCATTCAAAGCCAAAGGCAAAACTTCTGACTTCAGTGGCGTCTTGATTTTACCTCTTGTCTTTTCTTTAGCAAGTGCATGGCTCTTCTGACTTTCACTTACCTACCCCAACTTCACAGTGACTTCACTTTTATTTTGCTCATTTTACAGTGAGATAGAAACAAAGCCTAGGTCCACCATCCTCTGCTTTATTACATGCCCATCAGAATTCTAGCTGCCTTAAGAAAAACATGCACTCCAGTACACAGTGTACTTATGCATGTTTCATTTCAACAATAAATTTCACTTGCACTAAATATTTTTACCTGTTAAGTCAAAGCTCCAGTTTTATTTACAAATTTGTAAACAAAACAGTCAAACAAAAAAGTTAAGTAGATATACAAAAGTTGATATATATGGATTTAACATTATATTCTATTTTTTAGCCTATTTAGGACAGCCTGAATTCGACTACTTTTGCATGCTTTCAAGGTGAACTACATTTTCTTTCCTTTACTCTCATGTTCGGTGTCGTGGCCACACTAATAACACTAGCAGGTCTCTCCAGGGAACATGCATTATTACCATATTGCACACAACAGAGCCAGAAGAGGGAGCACAAAGCACTTGCTTTGTTTTCATTTGAGTCCTATGTAAACAAAAGGTAGTTTATTTTATATTATCTGTGGACAAAAAAGTGTTTAATTTCTCATAAATTCTACATATCTGTTGCTTAACAGACTATCATTATTATCTTTTTCTGTCTATTTCTTTGTCTTTATGCTTTTACTATTGTCCATCTCATCTTGAGAATGTAAGCTCTCTGGGGCAGAGACCATATTTTTTGGTCTCTGCTTGTGGGGAGCATCCAGCATAGCAGGGTCCTGATTCATGATGCTACATGAATACAGAGAAACAGTAACAATAATATTCATCACTGGATCAGAGCAAAACAGGCTATGTATTCAGATAATATTTACTTACTACATCAAAGGACTTTATCAGGCATGAATATACCAGTGGGTGATGGTGAGGAGGGCTCAGGAAAAATTAACTTAATTTTTCATTTGTACTGGCCAGTACTGCTGCATGAGCCACTCTCATCTCCATCCCATGGTTTCCTTTTGATTCAGATTTGTATCTGTCCAGTTTATTACCTAAGAATGGCAATTAAAAAGAGGTACTCGTAGCCCATTAGTAAGTAAACAAGGCCTACGAGAGAATTATCCTCTAGCAAAAAAAAAGGACTACAAATATGATCAGCACAGTATGACAAAACAGTAGCAGCCTTTTCTGTGGGCCCTCATTTAGAAATTTCAGAGAACTGAGAGAAACCAGGGTGAGTACTTGACTGCTGGTGGGGCCATGCCAACAGTACAACTAACACAGCATCCTCAAAGCACAAAGCAGCAATAGCAGCAACTCCAAAGTCCACACAGCTGAAGACAGAAGTATGGAGACCCTGGCACCCCTCACATTACCCCAGTGTAGGGGAGAAGATATTAATAAAAGGGGATAGCACCAAAGAGAAGTACACACTGAAGGGAATGCCAAGGCTCCCTCCCCTCGCTGTGCTTGGTGGCCCTTATAACGCTGCACAGAAGTGGAGGCCGAGCTGATGCTCTCCCAGCAGCTTGTGGTCTACAGGGTTGAGTAAATACTTACTCATTAGACTGTCATCAGCATGACTCAGCCCCAAGGAGGGAGGGAGCGAATCCTTCCTCAAGGATGAAAAAGCACTCAGTCAGTGCAGCATCCTCCACGTCTGTATATACAAGAGGAAGGTTTCCATTGCTCAATCACTTTTTCTGGTGGCTAAATGTTTCAGCAATTACCTATACTTGCTAAGGACCGCATCAAACCCTCTTGCAATCTTCTCTTCTTGGAATCTCTTTTGGGTTCGTGGTCTGCCTGCTGGGTTTGTTTTCCTGTCTCTTCCCATCTCCCTCCCAAGTACATGGGGAAAAAATAGTAATAATCACTGATATTTCATTCCATATCTTGCTGTACAGCAAAACAAATGCAAAACAAGAGCCCTTGCAAATAATCAGTCAATCAATAAATAAATATAAAGGGAAGGAAAAAGAAACAAAAGAAAAAGAGAAGGAATGTGCAGTCTTAATTTTAATATGTGGAAGATGTACCATTCCATAAAGTGATTTTAGGCCCCTCTCAAAAAACAGGTGCAATGAGGCATAATAGATAGAAGACTTCTGTTACCCCTTTACTCTGCTTTCCTGGATGGAGATAAACTTACTTCAATAGGGACAGCTGTTGGAGGCACAGGAGTGTACTGGGGAATGTAGGTCCCTTGCATAGGTGCAGCAGCAGTCATGTACTAGAATAAATAAATTGAAGGCAAATTAACATTAGAAAACCACAATCAAGCTGAAAAAAAAAAAAAGAAAAGAAAAAAAAAACACATTAGAAGCATGACGCTCTTTCAATTTTCTGTAGAGAGTTTGTTCGTTAATGTATAGTCTATTATTTCCTTAATTAAGGATTTTAGTGAATGGTAGGAATTACCTTCTAGCTATTAAAAATCAGTCTCAAACTTCAATGTCAGGTCACATTTGAATACAGGCAATAGTAAACATATTGCTGATAGATTCAGATTGTATTTTATTTTTTCACATGCTTTTTGAAACGGAGAGACTCCTATTTGTACTTATAAATAAAACAGTAAAGAGACATGGTAACAGCCCGTATATATATATATGTAGTGTTTACAGATACAGAAACAATCTAAACAGTATTTTGGAATCTTATTTATCTTATCTTAATGACACCTACAAAACATGAAGCACAAAATTTGACAGTTTTATTCCTGTCTAAATTTAACCATATCATTAAGAACATTTCAGTTTACAGGGAGTGGAGGGGTGATCCAAGCCAGGAAAAATAAAGGAAGAGGAAGACATGTCTGGGAGCCTTTTGTACATAGAAGCCTTAACTAAATTCTTAAGAATCATTTTTAATATCCATGGATCTTTTCTATGCATTTTGAAGCTTCTCCCAATTATTATTACAGAAACACTTGCTATTAGCTTTTCCAAAATACTTTGTCTCCCAAGTACTACAAGATAGTCCTTTTTTGTCTTTTTTTTTTTTTTTTTTTTAATTTATGAGCATATGTGAATTTTGCCATCGGTATGGCACTAATCTCTTTATATACAGCAATTCTTTAAAAGCTCTTGAACTGAATGCAACAGATTTTTCAAGGCTTCAAATAAAGTATCAATATTAAGATGTCAGATCCGGATGTACTTTTCTTTCTACAATCCAGTCCTAACTACATGTCTTCACTGACAAGAATCTCAGAATGTGCCCAATCCCACAACTGACTGTATGACACTTCCACTACATGTTATCTTCAAAGACACACTGAAGATCTGAATCAGCCCAGAATGTATTTGATGAATTTTAAAATGCGTTAAATATAGATTTGCTTCCTGGCAGAGCTAGGAAGTGCTTGCAAGATTTTATTCTGCTGTTTATAGTAAAATTTACATTTAAAGCACTCTCTCACCTCAGTTCTAAACTAACTGGATGGTTTGATATGCCTGTCACAAACATGCATTACAAAATTGCAGAGTGGGGTACAGACTGGAGAAAGGCCTGAGGGAATGAGAACGTCATGTTTGAGAATCCAAGAGCTAAATTCTGAAGTAAGAATCATTTACTTTTCATTCAAGTAATGAAAAAGTAAAGTAAAAGAAAAAAAAAGTTATTTCAATGAAATTGTTTTCTATAGAACAAATAATCAATAAGAAACATAGGTGACAGAAGTTACACTTGTAATAGGAGCAGAATGTTGTGTTGAAAATCATTACAATATTTGTGAATACAAATCCACAGCATTTTCTTTCTCATAAGACAAAGAGAGACAGGAGCATCTCCCATGTACATGTGCCTGTAACAGGCCATGATTTTCTGCAGCTCCTTTCTCTTCTCCTTCAGAAATAGAACTGAATTCAGTACTTTTTTAATGAATGCTAACCCACCAAAGACATTAGGCCAACTATCCCTATTGTACTCAGTACAGTTGGGCTATTCTCCTGCCTTAAGGATTAGGAACTAATGAGAATGCTACAACGGGGTGTTCCAGAGCAGCTTCCGCTCCATTCATTCTGCTTTGTCGTGTTGCCATCACATGCATGTATGTTGGGGTGACATCCGCTGTGTGGCATTGTTCTAAACACGTCAATATTTAACCTGAAGCTCTCACTCTTTCAGTTTTGCAATGACCCATAGGGGCTTTGAATACCTACCCAGGCTAGTTTCACTCAAATGTATAAATATTTTAATTACCAGTGTTAATTTAAAACTAAAGTGGCCTTATTTAGCTTAGACTTCCTCAGAGTTCTTCCCTGAACCCAAAAGATAACTGCTGAGACTCATAAGGTGCAGTTGTCTTCCATCCTCTTACCTTACACACAACCACATATGAACTCTAATACAAAGACATCAAATTATTCAACTGCCTTTTAATTTAGACCGCTCCATTTTTTGCAAAACCTTTTGGCATTGAGTTCTGTAGCACAACTGAAACTGGGAATCACTTGGTGTTTTAGCTGGCAAGCACTGCTCTTGGTGGTAGTGCAAGAGCATGGATTGCCCCAGTTGTGCCAGACTCCATGAAGAACTCCAAGAACGTGACTTCTTCCCTGTATATAACTGTATTCTGCTCATATAAATGCCCACTGTAACTGGTGGTTCAACCTTTTGGTTAAATTGCTTGGGGCCCTAAAACAATGTTAAAAACAGTTAAAAAGAAAATAAGTCTGTGAGCAAAATTAGTTGCAACAATGGCATAAATGAAATAATTCTACCCAGCTGGGGAGCTAAGCTCCACCACAACTGCTCTCTCACTCCCCATCCTTGACGGGAAAGGGGAGAGAAAATACAATGAAAAGGGCTCAAGGGTTGAGATAAACACAGGGAAATCACTCAACAATTATTGTTATGGGCAAAACAGACTCAGCATAGGGACATTAATAGAATGTATTACCTATTACTAACAAGCTAGAGCAGTGGGAAACAAACAAACAAACAAAAACAAACTAAAGACACCTTCTCCCCATCTACCCTCCTCCACCTCCTCCCCCCAGGCGGCACAAGGGAAGGGGGGCTGCAGTCAGTCCCTAACGCTTTGTCTCTGCCGCTCCTTTTGCCAGTTCTCTTCCACTGCTCCACATGGGGACCTAAGGGATGTTGCCCTTATCGAACGTGATCCTGTGGGAGCTTCCCACAGGCAGCAGCTCTTCAAGAACTGCTCCCACATGGCTCCATACCACAGGGTACATTGCCCAGGAGCAAACTGCTCCAGCACGGGTCCCCCACAGGGTGGGTGGCAGCTCCCCCCAGACCACTGCTCCTGCAGTGGGCTCCTCTCCGCGGGCTGCAGCTCTGGCCCGGGGCCTGCTCCTGTGGGGGCTCTCCATGGGCCACAGCCTCCTCCAGGCCACATCCACCTGCCTCAGGACCACACATGATGAAGATTCTCCTTGATGGGCATCCCTTAATTAAGGGTCTCTGTTGTGATGGGGCTCCATGGTGAGCACAGGTCCTGTACTCATGCATATAATCTGCATATAGCTTCCCACCTATCTCAAGAAATTAATGTAACTTGTAAGTAGGCAAATGGAAAAAATAGACTTCTCCGTCATAACATTACTGAGATTTATCTTCTCCATAAACCACACACGAGTTCTTTGTCCCTATATACATCTGAAAGGGAGGCAGCACGTCTCACATGATTGGCTTAAGAGCACCCAGTTAATTCCACTAAATATTAGTATTATAAACACTGAAATAAGAGAATCTGAAAAATCCAAGTCCATTCATTCTTTGTCATATTCTTCCATCAGGATTAAAGATTATTGAGCTAGAAAGTGATCGGTCATTCAACAAAGTATTCAGAAAGCAGAAGAAAGCATTGTTCATTCTTCTTCAACTGTACAGGCTTTGTGGGTCTAAAAGTAGAAGCTGTTTATTTATGACAGTAAAATGAATAATGACTCTATGCACAGGTGACAGATCTGGAGGGTATCAGAGAGCTTGTTTGGCACTCTGATACTTTAAAAGCTGGTAATTTCTATATAGGGGGAAAAAAAAAAAAAAGGAAAAAAAAAAAAGAGACACTGCTGATGGTACCCTGTTCTCTTAATTTCTTTGTACTCTAGGATAAGGAATAATGGCTTAAAACTATAAAAAGGTAGATTTAGATTGATAATATGTAGAAATTCTTTACTATGAGAGCACTGAGGCACTGGGACAGGCTGCCCAGAGAAGCTGTGGATGCCCCATCCCTAGAGGTGTTCAAGGCCAGGCTGGATGGGGCTTTGGGTAACCTGGTCTGGTGGGAGATGTCCCTGCCCATGGCAGGGGAGTTGAAATGGGATGATCTTTAAGGTCCCGTTCAATCCAGTCCAAACCATTCTGTGATTTTGTGATTCTATTAGCTTCTTCAAGCAACACACAGAGTCCAGGTTCTCAGCACCGAAGATGCGCAGTATTATAATATAATGCACACTTCACAATGCCTGTCTGCTTAATTCAGGCTGCACTCATCAGAGCAGCAGTTTACCCTACATGCTACATTAGCAATTCTGTTCACACCTTGTTCTAATGGGATTTTTGTCTTTAACTTTTCGAAACTGCTTAAGCATGTGAAAAAATATATAAGGTGGAAAATGAGGGAGTACTGATACACACACATCTGCTCTCCTTTTAGAGTCCCTGAATGACTACAAAGAGTTAATCAAAAGGAGGTAGGTAACAAATAAGGAGGGGTGAGGGACAAAATGAAACTGTGGGAAGGATCATGATTAATTCAGAGGGCAACATCAGTTCTTACAGATCTGCAAACAGTGGGGTATCGCAGCCTGGCTCCAGCAAGACTCCTTGAGCCTGCAGTAAACACTAAGCCCATAAAGGCAGCAGGCACTGAGAAGAAAAAAACAGGAGGAAAGCAGCTGCCTGCACAGCAAGGGAGCACATTGAGGGAGGACAATGTGTTTCTCCCATCACAGGTGGAGTTGAGTGACCTGGGAGTAAGGTGCAGACAATGTCCAGTTATTTATTTGCCCTAGTCAGCCTTTCTTGGGCACAAGTTAATGCAGAGTCAGGCAAGCGCCTAGCAGGTGAGATGCACTGCAGACACCTCTTATTCCAGTCATTAGATGCTGAGCTTCAGCTGAGACAGTGCCTGAAAGACAGAGTGCCTCTTGCAAGACTCCATTTATACCACCAGTAGACTTTGACCACACACTATTTAAATTCTGAAGGTTATCATTAACAGAAACCATACGAAACCACCCTAAAGTACAATTCTAT